TGTGTCTCTCCAGAAAATCTTAAAGGCCGACTCCTTGTCGAAGTTGCAGATGACGAACTGATTTGTGACCCCAACCGCCCATCGACTACAACCCACAGCACTCTCGCTCCTTCGCCATCTACAACGGCAACCACAGAACCTGACATAATCTGGTCTGTACCTCCAAGCAAAGACAAGACTGCCTCCAACAGCAAGCCTGGCACAGAAAGTACCAACAAAGCAGTACCAGCAGCAGGCTCCTCAAACTTAAACAATGATGACACACTCATCATCGGTATTGTTGGAGGTGTGGTTGCCTTCATAGCAATTCTCATCATTGTCATCTGCATAATCAGGATACGGATCACAAATACTCAATATAGGGGTGGTCCACTAGCAACGCCAGTTGCCCTTGCTGCTGGAGGACATGCCCCTTCAATGATTACTGCAGGTTCAGGCTGCACGTGTGTGAAACCGCCAATGGGGCCGCCAATGTACGTGGCTTCCTACGGACCCGGGTACGCTGCCACTCTACCTCCGAAGCTCATGCCACCTACATCAGTGTCCCCACGACCTCCATATTCCACAATGGGAAGGCAACCGTACTACCACAGTCCACCCTACTACATTCCTTACCCCTCAGATGAGAAAGAGCATCGGTAGCCACCAGAATGTTTGAACATGACTTTTAATGAGAGAGTTTGAAAATGCTGACAGCGGCTGCACTCGTGCTATGTTTAAAGCCATTTTGATTCTGTAAGACTGTCATGTCTTCCTCTTCGAATCTCAAAGAATGGAACATGACGATCTAAGTTATTAGAAGTTATCTGAAGTGACTGGACAATTAGGAACAGGAACATTGTGCCCTCTGAAAATACTTATGGGCGCGTTCACTGCCGATATGAATACGTAGTAATGTCTTGTAAGAATGAAATAATCAGGGGGCAAGAATTGTTGGTCACTTCACATTGACCAGTAGAGTTTGGAAATGTAATTACAATTGTTTTGTACTGTTCTGTGATAGCACATGAACACAATTTCATTATTTTACTTGCTACGGCTATTTGTAAATGTACTCTGTGGATCTGGGCTATGAAACCCCATGGGTTAAGGTGTGGAGAGAGAGAGAGAAGCTAGAATAAAGGAAAGCAGTAGAGCCAATCAGGAGGTAATTGTTGTTTATGGGGCTTATGGAACTGTTATCTGCCCTAAAATATTTGACACTAACCGCCTCCAAAGTGATAAGCTGGAAACTAATAGCCTATACTCCGTGACATGGAAAGAATCTGTCCTTTGTGAGATACACAACCATTTGGTAATATGTGACAAATACAAAAAGTAGATTTTTCAAAGAGAACAAAAGTGAATTTGGTCAGTACTTTCTTTATGAACAGCAGATAGATACATTTCATTCTCTTTGCTGCCACGCAGATCACAGTTTGTAGGGATTTAGAGTAGGCACCCACCCTGTAATATCAATATTAAACAATGCAGGATTCTACTTGTGAACTCTTACTGCCCTCTGATTTACAGGACATGAGAAAGTGTGTAATTTTCTTGCAGATAAAAACTTCAGTCGGTCCTAGCCTCGATATTTTCCCAGAGATTTTTCGAGGTCTATGAAAACTTCCTGGAAGGTAATTTAGCTCAGTTTGTCAAGTATCATGGCAGATTTTCTTTGAAATTATTCAGTATATGAAGCTGAGTGAACGTAAGTGGTTGATATGGAATAACTCAGTACCAGCAGCAGTTCCAGTGGGGCAATGTGAAGGTAAGTAAATATGCCTCTAAAGCGAACAGTGCCAGATGCAAATTACAGAAAAGCAAAAAAAGCTGATGCTTACCTGATTATCGGTTTTCCATAACGTTCACACTTGTCACTTAAACATTCTAGAGAAGATACTTATGAACTTGTTCACTAAATTTCATAAACACACAGACATCTCACACCACAGTCAAAACCTTGCCATTTGGCGCCGATGGCGAAGAGAGAACTGCATCCAACATAATAAATATATGTTACGATAATAAAGAATATAGTGTTCTATTTTTCCCTTTCTGTCATCAAAACTATTTTTTCTGTCCAGTTTAACAACGATACGTTTATCTAACTCCTCTTTAGAAGTGAAGTCTCGAAGTAATGTTTCGTTCAGCCGGCAAGAACAAAACACGACAAGGTTGGTAAGCCTACATAACCTCACAAGGGAGCCATACACGATGAAACGTAATTATTCGTCCACAAAGATTTCGACGGATATGTATGTGAATGCAGGAACCAATGCATCTTGCTAAATAAACAAAATGGGAAACCTTGATTTTCTTCCGCGCAGGAAGCCCGATTTACCAACACACATCAAGGTCGGTCTCCATAGACATCTAAGAAACAAATATGGTCGTGAATGACCGTCATAACCGAGTATGGCCTGTGATGGTGAGATCCGTGGTTCTCACGGTGTGTGGATAGATACCTGAAGATAAAATACAAATTTGTTTCCGTTAATAACTAACTGAAGGTAAGGATCGTGGAGGTCTTCCGGTTTGTGACGCCATGCGAATAAGACTTGTACGGTTATGGTTGATCCTACCAGCTTGACAAAAATCTGCAGAGTAGCTTTTTTTAAAATAAATCACGCGGACGTGTTCAAAACCACAATGCTTTCAAATAAATAAGAAACTATCAATATTCTTATAGCTAATTAATTATGCTTGAAATTAATGGGAAAATACACGGCGTTGGCCTATAAATTAATGCCACGAGGAGATATTTCGTTTTGACAGAAATGTGAAAAACGAAAGAGGTTAGCTGAATGTCCGCGGGGCACGTTCTTTGGTTAAGGCACAGCCGGCGAGTTCAAGGACCTGGAAGTGGGCCTATCAGGAGCAGGAAATGAAAGCGGCGGATCTGGAAGGCGGATGCGAATTTATGTTAATGAATTACTTCTTTCCGGCCTCCCACTGCCATCAAACTTTCTCGGTCTATCGAAACAAAGCGAGTTTCGTTCTGTTACAAACGACTAGTGTCTGACTGAACGAGATAGCGTCTTCTTGGAGGACGTCCTCACTCCTCATTTCCGACGACACGTCATAACAGACCTCTTATCCTACCATAATTTTGATACACGGCTCCCTCATCTCGATCCGTGTCTTCCAGCCACGTACCAAATTCTCCATTTTGTCCTCAGTTCATTCACGCATTTGAAACCGAAACAAGAGATAGCATAAGAAATTATTTGACTCCGAGTAAAATGCGACTATTTCCCGAAAACAGCATTAACCTGTTCATCGTTGCCATGGAGACGTCTGTCTATTTTCTTCAAGGTGAATTTCTAAATAATATTTACACGAACCTCGGGCACTTCCTTCTTTGCGTCATGCGTCACTCCAAGTGAGGGTTTGGTCTTTTAAGACCGGAAGTGACGATAGTTAAAGAAAGGGCAAAGATTGGCGTTTCGATGCCAATCTGTATGTCCGCAAAACTTAAAACAAAACACTGCCCTGGAAGCTGGATGCGAACCAAGAGGCAATGCTTCTTGAAACAATTTAACAGCAAAATTTAATGAAATTTGAAATTCGGCGAGCATAAAGGAAAACACTCTGGGTCTTCTAACTGACAACCGAAGACGGGTGTCTTCTGGGCTGATGCGTTGCGTGACACCCCGAAGACGGAGGCAGCGAACACATTTGTGACATCGGTAAACTTGTACCAAACTACACGGCGCCACATCCCAGGAGACGGTCATCTTCATGCTCATCGCCGTGAGAACCTGAAATCTCACCAATCGACAAAAAGGCTGTTCTTTGTAAATTTAACGACGATACAACAACTGCACGAAGACAGACTAGAATCAGAGATGATAGGATGGTTATGAATCAAAAACACAATCTAAGCGTGGCATTAGTCCACCCGTTAGACCAAGGATAACATTAAGACAGATCTTAGGGAGATGCTGTCAGGTAGATGAAACTGGCTCAGAATTGCGTACAGTGGTGAGCTTTAATTCCAGCGGAGTTTGGCCTCGCGCTGTGCAACATAGCTCATTTATTTAGTGGTGGTAACTATATGAACCAACTTCTTCAAGATTGATAGCTTTGCATTTTGATTCCTGGAACAGCGACTATTTTAATCGACAACGTTAACTAGCTGATCGCTGTCTCGGAGACTTTGCCGTAGGAGCAATTTTTTTAAAACGTTTAGATAAATGTTGTACATCGCGATGTTAATTTTCAATCGCCCGGTAATTTCTAAACGAACACGACCCGCGTCCATATCTGCGCGACGTACGACGGCCCACTGGTTTGGACACCCGGCCTGCAATAGGCGCATGAATCTTATCGGATTAGGCGGTCCACGAGCGGGCGGGCGGGCAATCAGTAGCTCGACGGCTGCCGTAGGACTTGCAACGTCGGCGCTGTCTCTCCGGAACACAGGCTCGAAATTCTCCGTAAGTGTCCGTCAGATCATAGGATGAATCGACGTCGTTTCACAGGCACAGAGTTTTCATTGTGGATTCAGTCACAGCTGGTAAGTGGCAGTCTCATAACTAAGTAGCCTCACTTAGCAGATTTCTTCCTGAGAACCGACGAGTCCCTCCGCTACTCTGGACAGTCTTCGTCGTTTTTTTTACAACACGAGTCCGCCACTGGTGCCTATCATGAGCCAGATTAATCCAGCCCACATCCTTCCCAATTGTAACATTAACCTCCCATCTACACCTAGGTCTTCCAAGTGGCCATTTCCCTCTCTAGTCGTCAGAGTTCCGAGGACGTCCTCCTCCGTTTAAGAAGGCCGAGGGGTTTGTGTGGACGAATGCAGTGACTTAAGACACTGTGAGAACCGTTGCTTGAGCGAACTACATTCGTTCTCGAGCGCTTTAGTTCAGAAGTACTTCCAGAGCTCAAAAGAGCTTAGATCCACAAGTCATGATTTTCGTTTTTACATCGTGGCTCTCGGGGTAATTCAGAAAGTCGTCGAGGGAAATACACAAGAATCTACCCCGTGCAGACTTTAATGCGGAACGCCATCAGCGATCTGCCACCAAAATCTCTCTCGGAATGAAGATATCCGTCTTCTGGGTTGTTGCGCTGTGTATCATCGCCCTGATGACGGAGGCAGTATGACCTCTGAAACGTTGGTTAACATCGACCAGGCTACACAGCGCAACAACCCAGAGGACAGAAATCTTCATACTCATCGCCCTGATGACGGAGGCAGTATGACCTCTGAAACGTTGGTTAACATCGACCAGGCTACACAGCGCAACAACCCAGAGGACAGAAATCTTCATACTCATCGCCCTGATGACGGAGGCAGTATGACCTCTGAAACGTTGGTTAACATCGACCAGGCTACACAGCGCAACAACCCAGAGGACAGAAATCTTCATACTCATCGCCCTGATGACGGAGGCAGTATGACCTCTGAAACGTTGGTTAACATCGACCAGGCTACACAGCGCAACAACCCAGAGGACAGAAATCTTCATACTCATCGCCCTGATGACGGAGGCAGTATGACCTCTGAAACGTTGGTTAACATCGACCAGGCTACACAGCGCAACAACCCAGAGGACAGAAATCTTCATACTCATCGCCCTGATGACGGAGGCAGTATGACCTCTGAAACGTTGGTTAACATCGACCAGGCTACACAGCGCAACAACCCAGAGGACAGAAATCTTCATACTCATCGCCCTGATGACGGAGGCAGTATGACCTCTGAAACGTTGGTTAACATCGACCAGGCTACACAGCGCAACAACCCAGAAGACGGAAATCTTCGTACTCACCGCTGTGAGAACCTCAAGTCTTACTCTCTCGGAATGTTTGTGTTAGGTATGAATTTTGCTGTCAGTGAGACAGGCGACTCAGGAAATGCTCCCATGATTCACTAGTGATGATTTTTCTTTTTCAAAAAGAATGTGACTAACAGGATGCAAAGTTCTCCGTTTTTAAATAAACATCCAACATCCTGCACACAACTGGAGGCGTAGACATTCCTGATTTCGTGTGACACATTCAGGACGTATTGAAGAAACTAATAACATCTGTATTAATAATAATATAATTGTAATTCTCTCCGTGAATGAATCGATTGATTTCCCAAATACTTCTGTTATAAACCGGGGGTGGGTTTAAGAGACTAGGATTTCTTGTTCAGGGAGAGTCACATTTGGTTTTGGAACGTAGAGGCTGCCATCGGTCAAATTTGCCCTAAAAGTGAAATGTGGTTCGGGGGATACTCTGAACTAGCATTTCATGGGTAAGTAAAGTGGAGAACGAAAGGCCACAAGAACTGTCAAGGACACAACATTTTCTTTGTAACCGGGGTTCGATCTACTCGTCGCCATAACTGTGTCCAGACGAGCTCTCGACTCTCGCAGGGCACATCAACCACGCGGGTCAAAACACTTCTAGTCTTCTCAGTCAGTTACAGATTGGTATTATTACTTACTTAAAAACTTCCTGCTTGTTCAGGTTCTTCATGTTATACGTTAAACTCGTCAGACATGACATCAAACGTCATCACCGTCGCCATGTTTCTAAACTACCAACTTCAAAACAGAAGTTTATAGGAATGTTTACAATCTATGTTTTCCCCCCCCCAAACATTTCATGGTCATCGTGCCCGAACCTCTTCTTATCGCAGTAAAATCGATTTCTAAATGAAAAATGCGCGCGTTAGCCATGATGTGTTAAAAAATTGTTCCTCAAGGTAGTATGGTGCTTACGTAATATGATTATGCGCGTGTTTCTTTCTTCTAGGCTCAAATGGATTTAAGTGCGACATAAGAGGATTAATGGATTCGACAAAGGAGACGCGCGTCGAACCTACAACTCATATTAATTTCATGGAGCGAAGATCCACTGAGTGCGTTTTGAAGCTTCATTTAAAATCGAACGCCAAAACGAAGCACGCACGACGTTTCTGCTCCTAGAGAATACGCCGAACGCAGACAATTGTGTTCCGGAACAGAATGGATATTCGCTGGCTCCTAAGAATAGACTGTGATTTTCCTTGCAGTTCCAGGACGTAGGAACGTAGCTCACAAAAGTGTAGCGTTCACAAAGAAAGAACAATTCTGTAGCACAATATAGACCGAGACACATCGTTTGTGATAGGAGTACTAAAAATATAAGAGTCCCAGGTCGAGAGTGAAAGGAATTTCAGAAATTCCGAGACGAAAAATGGTGACGTCGGAGAACAAGGAACGAGAGCCCCCAATGCCCCTGCATCATCTGCACCCAAACACGAAGGGGCACAGCCCCCAGACCATGGCATGGTACAGGCCGGACCCAGCTCCAGTGCTCAGCAAATTTCCAGGTGGGGATCAGAGTGGGACAAACAACTCCGCCTTCCACCCGGTCAGCCCCTATGACCGGGCAAAACCCCGCCCGGTGGTGTTAAAGTTTTATCCCGCGGTGGAGGAAAACACGCAGGTGACCTGGTGCTGCTGCACAGGTGCCAATTACAGATGTTCCATCGCCGTCACTGGAACTGAGAGGCTTTGGGGCTTAGAACCACGAAACCGCTGGACAAATTCTTCGGATACAGCATCGCACTGCAGTAAAGAATATGAAGAAGAAGATGAAGAAGAAGATGAAATTGACGTCGGAGATTGCGAAACGAATACTTCCCCACGCAGTAAGGACAACGAAGGCTCCATTTGCATGTCGCTTGCAAGCGCGAAAGCTCCCAGTGCTGTGGGCAGATTACGAACGGTGGTATCGACACCAATTACAATTACCAGCGGTTCGGCGCGGGACTTTCCGATGACGGAAGGCGCTGCTCAGAACAGACATTCAGTTGTTCAAGGAAGCATAGAAATTGGCAGGAGACCAATTTACATGCCTGAAATAGCAGGGCTTCAACCTCTGGCTCCTACTAAAACAGACTCTAAAAGTGGTACAGGCCTTCCTGAAGATGGAAGTCAGCTTTCAATGGAGACAGACAACGGCGAGGAATGTCGGCTGCCGTCCTCAGCGTCGCCTCCTAAAATCGGGGAACATTTTCCGAGTGAGTACGTCACAGCTGCGAGACTTGCCGAAGACGATATTTTCATCAAGGCAGAGGGACGCCCGTTGAGAGCAAGGACGTATTCCATCACGGAACACGAGTTGACAACTCCTACTACGTCGCCAACGAGAAGCAGTGAAGACAATAATGTAGACTGTTCCTTCGGCGAAAGAAAATTCTGCAGAAAGGAAGACGATGAAACACTAAATACGTTCACCCACGTCGCTGAGGAATCGCCCGTGTTCAACGTCAGAGGCGCAGTACGAGAATGTCCCACGGCTGAGACAGCCGGCGACGAAGTCAATTACTCCCAAACAATCTTGAGCGACGCGTATGACCCTGGCATGACGCCTACAGTTATGAAGAGGAATTTTCCGAGACACACCTCACCTCCAGCAAATGCTCGTGAGGCTGACGTTTCTGTTTTAGTTGGAACTAACCTCAGTAAACCGCTTTCCGAAAGACACGGTGATAAGGAGTCTTCTGCAATGAAGCGCCCAGAAAATGCGGATAAACAGAGTCTTCGTGAACAACAAAGCTCACTCGTGCTTCGTTCCACTCAAATAAACCGCACTCAGATATGTGGCAAACAAAGTTTCGAAGAAAAACTCATTTCCAATCAGGACGAACGCAAAACTCAGGTGGACAGTGACCAGTCTTCTGAGGACAGGGGCGAATCCCCTCACAAGAGGTCTCATTTGGACGACGACGACGACTACAAATGGCGCTCGGTGGACAGATGTGACTTACCACATGAGGGGTCTCCCGTTAAAACTCGCAACCCAATTACTGACGAAAATGTCATCGAAAACGGAAGGGAGTACATCCCGAGAAACTCGCTTGTGGTGACACCCACCCAAGGCGCTGATGAACATCATCTCGAAGATAAGGGAGGCTTTCTCCGAAGCACTCCTTCAGAACCCCGCGTACAAAGTGCAGTTGTCGGAACGGAACGGAATTCATCTCTGGAAAACGAAACGGCAATTAACAACCAACAGCGCGAGGAAGGCCGTGGCTTGTCTGCTCGAAACAACCAAAGAGAATCCCAGCGGATTCTACACGATCAAAGTACCCCTCGTCAACGGAGCTCTGTGCTTGTCCGGTCGAGGGAACTGAGACCCGGAGGCGGAGAAACCGTCATTCAACAAGTGGGCACTGCAAGTGGACCAGAACTCAGCACAGGAGTACAAGGACCTCCCCCCTTCTCTGCTGAGGATTCTGCACTCAGGAGCCGCGTCCTCATTTTGCTGTGGATCCTGTTGGGCGAGCGAAGGCTGTGCGAAGTAGGGTACCCGGTGGAGCCCGTCCATCGAGTCCTGTGGCGGGTCGTGGACGTCTGCTGTTCCGTGGCCGGTGTCAAGAGCGCCGCGGCGGTGCCACTGAACGCGGACCACGACTGTGGCTCGGACATGCTGTGCTTCCGGGATCACACGCACCGGTTCCTGGAGGTCTGTGCCCCAACGCGCGAGCATTGGAAGCAATTTGGCTGGGCAAGCCTCACCGTCGACGCGGTTGTCCGCAAGATCTACGATGAAGGTGAGTGATATGTACTCTTTTGCATTCTACGTTCCTGCTCAGACAATGAAGCCGTATCAACTGCGAAGGTTATTTAGCTCTCGATGATATGTGGTGGAAAACGTGAAATAGCTGTGAAGGCGACTGTCCATTCAGTAAAATTTGTAACTCGACTACGGTAAGGACACTGGCGTGAAGTTATCGAATGACTGAAAACAGTGCTTTATAATTCCCCATCACAATATTGGACAACATTTCACAGTCCGCATTCTCACTTCCAGACACACTTTGCCGGGTAACTGAAGAACGTATTTCAGGCGCACAAATCGAGGACATCTTCCTCATGAGGAACATCAGGAATTCTCGTATAAATATGAGCAATGACGTCCATGTATCTGCCGTTATATTCCAGTGTTATCCGCGGTTTGGCGACGTTATTATATGCTCTACGTCTTACCAATAATGGTAGGTTTACATGAGCATAGAAATCAACCCTAAAAGTCATCGAAAGTAAATTATAAGTGGAGAGAATAAACGAATACAGAATTTTTTACGGAAATTTTTCGGAAACCGACTTTTTGGAAAACAAAGAGTGGAGATGGGTGAGTAAATTGGACTGGACTAGATCGCGATCAGCATGAACCGTCTGGCGAGTCTGAAGACGGCCGTGTTCTGGGTAGTTGTTGCGCTGTGTGTGTAGTTTGGTAGACGTTTACCAACGTTTCAGAGGTCCTTCCTGCCTCCATCATCAGGGCGATGAACTACCAGACTACACAGCGCCACCACAAAGCCAGAAGACAGCCATTTTCGTCTCAGTCACGTTGCGAGCTGGTGACTTCGTCTCTGATTGAGTTTTTATGTAAGTTCTCTTCAGGTCTCTGAGATCAAGCGAAGACACAAATAGCAGGGAGATAGTCGTGACAAAGGAACCGACAGCCCTCGAGCTCTTGTGTCGTGTCAGAAAGAAACACGCGGCACGATGCACGACGACTGCTATTGGACATCTCGACCGTGGGCGGTCCAACCGGATCGAATCTGATTGGCAACCGAATGCATGCCGTACCTTGATGCTGTGGTATCTGTTGATAACGGCACTATCACGCGCAGTGGCGCCAACTAATCAAGGACGTGATTACGGAATCTTGTAAACGTGGACTGCAGAAATTGTAGCCGCTCCTTTTGGGCATACGTTGCATCCTGATAGTAGAGAACGTGCAACGGTGACAATGCACTTAGTGCCCAAATAAACTTCTCACAAAATGCGTGCGTATTTCATCCAAAATCAAAATTACTCGGAACTAATTTCGGATCTTGGAGGAATATGGAACAAAATGTCGTCAAAACACGCGGATTGGCGTAAAAGTATCGTTAACCTTTTGTCAGATTGTTTATTGTCGCAGTACGAGTGGTGTTAGAATCTGCAAGGTCCAGACCTACGAGGCACCACGGAACACGGGGCGTCAGAGCTCGAGGCTCAGCTGAATCCACCGCGTTTAATAACATCTTGGCATTGTCGGAAGTGGCTCGTTCCCGTCGCAACCCCGACAAACACGTAACAGCAACGGAACAGAGTCCAGGAACTCGATCGGCCGGTCGCACGTCGGACTGCGTGCCGACCGACGTGTTCTTTCGTTATCTATGTAAATAAGAGTACTCGGCCTTCCTGCCATGATCGCTGTTTATCAATGCGGAAATACTCGGGGATTGTTCGCGAGATTGGTAGCCGTAGGCAGGAAAGCGGCCAGATTACATATCCATGTTCATGGAGAAGGACGTCATGACCAGCAGTGGCGGCTCGTTAATATTAAACGAAACAACTGAAGAGCAAATGCGAACTCTCGTGTCAAAACCGCGTTGAAAAACGAATTTAATATTGGGGTCGTGGGTTCGAATCCCTCCCAGCACGTGTCTACGTCCATCTGTTCCTATGCTGTGTTGTTCTGAACAGGTGAAACGACCGTCCGATTCTCCGATCTTCAGTCAGAGGAAATTACACCAAGTGAATCAGTTAGTTAGTTAGTTAGTTAGTTCAGAAATCGGTACAGGTACATTCAGGGGCTGCGAGAGATGAGACTTGACTCGACTCCACTCGTCCAACGTGTGGTCAGCGTCAGATGACACCCGGTGCGACTCGACAGGGTGGGGGGGGG